TGAATGGTTTTGGTCTAATCAACACTGATTTGGACATTGGTTGAATCTCTGGGTTCCAAACTTTTATCGCAGTTGTTCAGTTAATCTGATTTGCAAAGGCTAAAACCTTAGAATATTAGCTGCATATGTAAATAAATATCATGAAAAACCAACCATTAGGTTCGATAGTCTCAATTTGTCAGACGCATTCTCTTTTACTACAGCGGGCAGCAATAGTGAGAATTTCCGCTGGTTATAGTTGCGTGTTGCACAGCGTTTTACACCCTTACAGTCAATAGTATATGAAAGTCTCTTGGAAAATATTAGCGACGGTACCGCCTATAGCACGCAAGCGAGTTCCAAAAATCTGTCTTGCGCTAGAAGCCAAAGACCATATTGAAAGGTTGAAATGTGAATGTGTAGTCAACGTGGTACCCGCATTTGTCTAATTTCCCGTACCCATGAATTTTAATAGCGGATTCTGGTATGTATGGATATCGCGTGGTGTATTCTACATAGTAGTATATAATCCAAACATTACGGAGCTTTACATAAAATTGCTCCCTTTGGCAGCTGGGATGGAAATCCTAATCAAACGTCATAAAGAAATTCTAATTACTCCATATGTACCTTATCTGATCACTCAATATCGCTGTAAAATTGAGTAAACATTTTCATACAAGCGTTGATGTCATAGTCAGTAAATTAGGGCGAACTGCTTATTGTTCCCAAGCGCTATCATTCTATTAGCACGTCCACCGTGTACGTAGACCACAAGGGTCACGTGGCAGATTAGGCAAGCGGTTTCCCCCAAATATGGACACCATGTAGTGGATTCTATTCGGGGCCGTAAAATCAAACCATTACAACCGCATAACTAGAAGTTGGCACAGTTTGGCAAATGGAACCTGAAACCGGTTTCAACGGCTATGGAGTTTTATTTCACGTGGTGTATGAACGCATAATAACTTATTTTAATTATATAATTTATAATGAGATAAAAACGGGACCATATGGCACCGAAAGTCCACATCAATCTTGAACTCTATTCTTGAATTTTCACGCCACAGCAGTCGCATTCGCCTAGAGGGGATTTATCAATATCCGAGAATTCGCACGTACGATTATTGCGCGCAAGTAGCGTGTACGTAGACCACAAGGGTCACGTGGCAGATTAGGCAAGCGGTTTCCCCCAAATATGGACACCATGTAGTGGATTCTATTCGGGGCCGTAAAATCAAACCATTACAACCGCATAACTAGAAGTTGGCACAGTTTGGCAAATGGAACCTGAAACCGGTTTCAACGGCTATGGAGTTTTATTTCACGTGGTGTATGAACGCATAATAACTTATTTTAATTATATAATTTATAATGAGATAAAAACGGGACCATATGGCACCGAAAGTCCACATCAATCTTGAACTCTATTCTTGAATTTTCACGCCACAGCAGTCGCATTCGCCTAGAGGGGATTTATCAATATCCGAGAATTCGCACGTACGATTATTGCGCGCAAGTAGCGGGCTAAATATTCGGCAGGCCACTAGCCACTTAGCCATACTGTACAGGATGAGAGCGCCACCCTTACGTAGGCAATTATGTGAAATGGGAAATACGCTGTAATTTTTAGTGAAACCTACCATGTCCTGAAACCTCGGTTGTTGAATTCGTTTTCACCAGATCTGAGTTTGACAATTTTAGATGAAGTTGGCTCTTTAAACCGGCGAAGCAACAATATTTCTTCATACTAATCACATATTGTTAGCGGTGTTCCTATATTGCAAAGTGGAAATATTGTGCATCTGTTCCCATGCTATTTTTAGGCCAAGTAAAATGGAATTCCCCTATGGTTGCTTGTATGAAGCTGATCAATCCGTCTTTTAGATCAATTGCAATCTTCGCTGATAAAGTTCAGAAATACTGGAACAGATCTAGTGAAAAACATCAAGTTTTTATTCTATTTTATAAAATTATTTTTCACCTAAAATCCGCCAACCATACCTAAGACGCGAAGCAAATCCTGGTAACCTACAAACGTATAAGACGACAAAGTCCTTTGTTTATGTGAAAGGGAGAAACGCATTTATGAGGGCAGGATTTATATGTACGGTCATCTCGGAGGTTTTACGTGTATCTCAGCATTTATTTTTCAACATTCCTTTGTTTCGCTTTCCAGAAATTGCTATATTGAATGTCATATTTACTTTTCAAGACAAAGCACAGTCTGGCTGCACACGGTGTGCAAGTGCCAAGTGTAACGCCAATGGGGACATCACGAAACAATTTTAAGCAATTAACGTGTAGCTTTTTGTGGCCGTATCATTGGGAATTTAGAAGATCATAATTATTGTAACGTTAGCCGTTAACCAATTCAAAGTCTATCCAGCGAATGCAGCTTTGGCCAGCGCATTGGGAACTGAGATTTATCACCTAACACACCACAAAATAAATAGAGGTTAAATGAATGGGTGATAATTATATCCCTTCATAGATAACAACCGAAGCAATTTCATGGCTGCAACTCTTGTTATCCATACGGAAACTTGGCTTCATATACACCATGCAACATCGGTTTTTGCAGAAAAATAGCAGATCATATTTGTCACTATTATTTTAAATTTCATACGTTTAGGAGGATAAATATACGTATTCCTAACACGAGAGTGTATCCAACCACGTTCAATTTACCCACACCTGAAACATTTTGAAACATGACAGATAGCTGAGTAACGTGAACTACTCCTTAGTTTCTCCTGTAGAGTTTACAGTTAGTAGCATGAAATTGTTCGAATTTTACGCCCATTTTGGTTCTCGAATGACAGTGCATTTGGAATCGTGACGGCGTGCAACTGGGCAACTAATGATCTCCGTTTATCATATAAGCTGTTTAGTAAAACACAGTAAAGTTTTCACTGAAAATACGCACACTGCCGATAAAGAGGTAATTAATTGTGCGTGTGGGAAAACCTGTAGAATATTCTAGATATCCCAGATTTCTCTGCATTTGTGAAGTATGGAAATCAAAGAACACTACTGCTTCACATTGGAAACCATGGAAATGAAAGTCTTGAAAATCAACAAAGACCGTAATAAGACGAGCATGAAAATGTGCGGCTGAGTTCATGGAGAACAGAACGTTTCCTTAGTGAATGGGCTTAGTTTTAGTGACCAGATTCGTGTACCTAAAGTTTTCCAAGAATATATGTATGAAAATCAGCGAAACCAACAAGAGGATTTGAATGCTAAATAAACTGATTTACATGAGACAGGAACGAGATGCACCAAAAGTTAGGGCACTAATTTACCGAAAAGCTTTAACTTGACCGCTGCCTCTCGACTCTCCCTGTTCAGGCTTTGGCGACCTGCCAGCATCTCGGCCCGCGTGCCTCTTTCGTTTGGCGTGGCAGCTAAGCAACAAAAGGGCGGAACAGCTGGAAATTATTATAAGCGAACTGATGTCCGCATAAAAGCTTAGATCGATCTCCCGAAATAAACCAATTGAATTGGAATAAATCTCACACTCCCTCAAACAATGAATTGGGCAAAAATTTGTACGGGCGATTTAGTAATGATATGTAGTATACATCCGAGCGGTGAATGCCATGGAAATTAAAGACTGTAATTATCGGCCTTGAGCACGCAGACAGATTGACGCATCGTTGTTCGAACCAAAATATAATATAATACAACAAGTAAATACACGTACGCACTGGTTTTGTTCCAAGCAAGTATGTTGTGAAACGCATTGCACATATTAGGAGCTCAGTTGACCTACATTGGAAAAGTGTACAGGAGATGATCGTAAATGGTCTGTAAACCACCATGGTTTGACCCCCTGATTGAGTATGCACAGTATCCCGTCCACCCATGATAATGTGCTGCAATTCTCTGAGATTATGCAAAATGATGGATATGTATGACGGACGACGGTGGTGCAGAGGCGCGCGCCTGATATTTCTTGCGAGAACTACACCGCAAAATATATATTTACACTACGCCTTGCCATCAAGCTTTTATACGAAATTCATATTTTTGATCGTCTCTAGTACTGCTCACCGGATAGCATGCTAATATCATATTTCTCTTACTCATTCTTAACTTGTTCACACAAAACTAGAGACGTGTACAAACTACACCCGTGTTATTCTTGGCTGGTTATTTCGCACTTCCCGAAACATCATTGCTCAAGCGGATGCATCCTTCAGGTGAAACCGATAGGCGAATTCATGGAAACGCTCTGAAAAAAGACTGACTGTTCACAACCAATTTTGATCAGAACATTGAGATCGATTTTGAGCAATACCCGCTCGTCAGTTCTAACACTGTCAGCAAAATGGTGCACTGTCTTTTTTGTTGAGCGGATAAACTGCTACGTGAGCCACACCGTAGCAAACGATGCATTACTGTTTCCTCGAGGTAACTACATCTTTTGGTTTTTATTAAAATATCTCTTAGGAATTCCTTTCAAAACATTTTGTTCCCACCTCGAAAAGCTCTACCGTACAGTTCATGCGCGTTTCTCCTGTGCCTACACTAGTCCACACCACACTGCCGAAATGCTCAATCAACAAGAGACGAATATTATTCATTGTGCCATAGTTAAATGAGGCCTCACTATATTCGAAGTACACTTACGATTTTTACAAAGAGAATTCGATGATCATTACGGAGACACACGATATCTCCGGCCATGCTTCTGTGAAATGAATGAATACTCATCTGTATGGCCCATTACAGCAATGGCTTGCTGCCTGAGTGCCACACAAGCCGTTGGTTGTAGCTCTCCGACAATCATGGCGGTTTTACTACTGGAAGTTTGATGGGGCTTCGGAATTTTCGGTATTTATCGGAGCTTCTAGTGGCGCTGTCTTCCTGTTTGACATGCTGACGGAATGCAAATTGCCGGGGTACGTCTGATCATATGGGGAGGGATTTGTGGGAATTCAAACCAAAGGCCAGCAAGCATTTGCTAAACATTTCGTTTTATCTCATTATGCTTTTTCATTCCGCTTCTTAAGAACACCACGACAGATGATGTAGATGTCACAGAAACTTTAAATATGAGCTTAAATGGATGGCTTACGCAGGTATGTATGAATATAGAGACTGAAGTTCGCATAGATCTTTTGGAGAAAGTAGGCTGTCAACTGAAATGGACTCAATAATTCTGTTTCCGGAATACGTCTCCTGTTGGAAGACACATAGAAAGTATTTGATTACAGCTATCACAACCAATGGCATGGCATATATCAACTGGAGTAGTACACTAATTTTAGTATCAGAATACGACCTTAAAGGGCATGGTGATCAAGCTCCACATTAAAAGATCCATAGTTTATTATTTTCTATTCCCCATCACGTTGTAACAGCACAGCGTTTCTTTCCTATCTCATCATGCTCAGCGCTGTTATAAATCGCACTCCTTGTAGGTTCAACTTACATTCAAGCTCATTGTCTGTGCATTCGACACAAGTGGCTATGATTTTTTGAACCTCAACCTGGTGTTGTGTTCTTGCATTCAAGGTGATATGCTCTTGCGTAGTAAGAAGTGCTTCAGAATTTTATGATCTGGCTATTATACATTCAATGTTTACCTTAGTATTAAGTCAGGGCTTTCCCTCATGTTCTGCGTCCGTCAAATGTGACATCGAGTGTTAGAAACCTCTAGAAACTGGTTGGCGTGGTTCTTCATATGCATGACGCCGGTGCATCAGAGCAAGTGTGAATTATTGTATATTTCCAGACGGCGGTATGTTTCCGTCTAGAACGCTACTGTGTGAGTCCTCTAAACACACTGTATAATGTTGGTACGCAGCCCTCCATCGAGAGTAAAATCTGTATGTGACTTAGTGAATGACGTAATACTGTGAAGAATCTTGTGTCCCAATAAGCACACGAACCGTGTTGTATCATTTTCGGAATACATCAACATCGAACATTGCTACCTAATCGGTTGTTATATTACACTTATTGAAAACGTATAAGGCGTTTTAAAATAGGAGGGTAAATTTGCCGGTGTGTCTAGTTGGTCACCAAGAGGCCGCATATATATATGGAATCTTTTGATAAAGAAACCAACACACTTAATATGAACATATATCATGTTTGAGTATTGGTTATTCCACAAGCGGAGTCCTCAGATGTGTGAACAACTGGAAGGCGCGCGCTAGCTGATATTCTTTGCGTTATTAAATGAAACCTTTGATATGCCCTATGATGCTGTTGTAACCGGTGGCTTACGGATGATAAATATCGTTATCTTGAGTGTATAAGTTTCACTGAAAACACATGAGTTTCTTTCAAACAACCTGAAAGCCCACGATCACGCCAAAAAGCAACAACTGTGTCTTTTGCACCCATTCTTATTATGACTCCGCTTAGCGTGAATATACGGGTGAAACTGAGCTCAAACTTCCGCCTTCAGTGTTTGTAGGCTATTTTGGTCGGCGGTATATGTGGCGCCATCCGAAAATTTAGTAGCTGTCTTTGACAAAATGACTGATACTGACCACATTGTCTAGCCTGTTTTGTTACCCAAATCTACAAATAATGAGCTTTTAGGCCTTTGTCCTTGTCAATTTTAAAAGCATGTAGCTACCCAGCCTAAGCGATACTCATTGCAATAACTAGGAACCATGTGCTCATTCAGCTATTTCATACTAACACTTGCTCGTGTTTTTGCGGTCCCAGCCTGTGGACGAGTAAATATTTAAATTAAACGGTTCAAATTATTTGTCACAATGAATAGCATGGGAACAGGGATGAAAATTATCACAAAAGGCGAATGACATATTATTTCATGTAGTTCAGTGTTTTAAAACGACTGCCTCTAGCGACCCAATGATATCACGTATGCAAGTCAGGCAAACAACATGAAACAAAACGTTTTCTACTTTAGTACAGTGTTTCGGCCGTGAACTATTTTCGCCATTAAGCGGGTACTATCTGCTTATCAGTCAACTCATAGATAAGACGAAGTGGCTCGCCCACTTTGGGTTCTTCAGTGATGAGAGTGACGTGTTCTCTCAAGAAATAATTACGTTGCACGCAGCGTGAACAGCAGCAAGCTAAGCTAACAGCCAAAGTCCCAGATTTTCTCTGATATCCGGCTTCTGAGGTTTGCGTGAACAACGTTTTTTTTGTGGACCGCAAAAGCGCAGCTCATGTTCTGGGGACTGAATCGAACGGCAAACTACCAGGCGACCACTGGCATTCTTCATCAGGCATATATTTCATTCAGGCATACTCTTTGGAACTATCTGAATGATCGTTAACTTTGTAGAAGTAATAAGTCAGTTTCAGATTGATATGTTGCCCACCTACCATTGTGAATAAAATAGTATGATTTGGATTCTGGCAGACTGGCCCGAAACTAAATTTGTGTGCCCAAGTGTGCTTCCAGCAGGCGGAGCTCTATAATGAACTCGAAGAAAATTTCAATATATAGTTGAGTAAAATCCGAAATGCACATCAATTTCTACAGTAAAAACGAAAACGAGTTTGGTGGATGTCCGTTGAAGTTTGTACGGTAAACGCCTTTTTTCGGTCTGATTGACTCGACGCAGTTTTTGGTTGTTCTGAAATCCAGATTTTCACAAATACTCTATTAAAATCTACAGCCTACTAACGTTAGACGTCTCACGAGGCTCTTATAGAAGCAATTTCTGCACTACGGATTCCTAAACTATTGCTAGACTTAGCGCATTTGCTAGTTATGGATGGTTGCATGCGAAAATAACTGATCATTGCAAACATTTGTTTTTAACATGTGAGTCAGATTGTGCTCTCGGCTACTCTCAGCATTTGTGGGGAATCTTTAGGAAATAAGTATTTCCTCTCTGGGATTTCCCGTGTTTTATCAAATGCTCTCTCTGACAAGGTCTGGTCACTTGCATGCTTCTCCTTTGAAAGTTGTGAAATGCCAGGCGATAGCCGCGTCGTCTTTCCAGTGTGGTCTTCTTTGCTAGTAAACACTGTCTGCACTGTAGTATGAGACGCTGTCAGTAGAGCCGTAGTTTAACGTTTGCCAAAGGAGCACTAAAAATCACAACACTCGAAAGGAATCATAACGATCTTTGAGATGGCAAAATGAAAGCCCGAATTCTTTATCCCTGAGAAACTTAGGGTTCATTCAGTGCTTTTACAAACAAATACATATAGGCAAACACAAACCGTGGTTAATGTCGACCGGAAGTGCACTTAAGTGTTACTCGGCCAACTGCAACTGATGACACGAAGGTAATTTGATGTTTTTATAACTCGGATATGACTAGGTTTTCTGTTAACTATTTGTGAGTGTTTTCACGTTACAGTGCCAACATCCGTGACCAGCATTACTCCAGTCCATATTCTAGCTACATTTATTACGATGTTCGCGTTTTTAAGAGAAACAAATCCATCCAGATATTTAGTCCCTGTGTGCTCCCCATCATGTGTGTTCCCAGCTTGCAGGATTTTTATGAAGAGCGACCATTGTAACGTGAATTCCGACAACCGTGCCGAAAGACTCCAAAAGCGTTCACATTCTGAAAAACTTGCTCAAATAATTAAGCGGATTGCCGCGGAGTGTTAACCACTAATCATGTGATCAAACTTTGGCACTTGGCACAGGCATTCATAACGCGGTAGATGACAGAAATATTTGGAGCGCAAATGTTTTTCACCCGTTTACATGTCAGTGATTTATCGATGCGATTGCACTGAAAGCCAGCAAATGGTCTTAATAATCTTGTATTTTGTTGCGACGCCGGATACCTCATTGATAATGAAGATTTTACAATGACAACAACAAGACAAATATACCCCTTGAAAGTGGTTAGGCAGACACATTTAGTAAATAGTTTTATTTTCACGCGAAAATGGCCCAAATGTTCTTTAAAAATATCGCTAAACCCGAAAAATGGGTCTCCAAAACTACCACGTAGGTGGGTTAAGTTTTTGTTCCAACCGTTTTTAACTATATGATCGTTCCAAAATTTGGAGACGAGTTCTTCATATGGAGGAGTATCCAAATGTCCTGAATATACGGATAAATACATTTGAGAATGCAGTCGTTAAAATCATAGAGTGTGAACTTATATGAGTGATAAAAGTTGATTTCATGTACACTGTCATGATGCATTTTACATCGCATCCGTCAGGAATAGGCCGACTACTCATGCGTTAAACATATGTGAGTTCATCCCAGTGTGGTGTGTAGTTGTTGAGCAAAACTTGAGCGTCGGCTGCCCAATGAATTATTCCGACCAAGAGGAGAAATTTAAGTAATTTAATTGTGATTGTCTGCGCTAGTAATTGCAATGTGTACTATAACGCATCAGGTTCCTGTGCAACCGACTTGGCATCAAGCAGGTATTGCCCGATATTTGAGGTTTTGAAATGGGACCGTCAGTCAAATATTCATATATTTTCTTGCTCATTAAGGGGGAAATGCGCGCGTCTATAGCTCAAAGGAAGACGCAATATGGCGTCAATCGTCATGGAACATGAAGGCTGTTAAGCATTCTTTGTGCAATAGACGAACTTAAATCTGTGATGGTCTTCCCGGAAAACGGAAAAACGCAGATCTATCGACTAATATCATCACGTCAGTTTCAGCAATTTTACATCTGATTTCCATTTGGGATTAGGTTAATTTCATTCAGTATACAGTTTAAACGTATCTACCCACCGGTGAAATTCGCCATTTAAAAATTTGTTAATAAAACGCGGTATCATAAACGTCGCTCGGCGGATAGGCTTCCTACACAATGTTGGGAAAACTATCCAAAAACTGCACAAAAAGGGTATGGAGTTTATTCCGGCACAGAACGACAGAACGCAGGAAGGATATCCTATACGCGATGAAATCAAAGCATTCGGCAACCTGAATAAATCTACCAGACTTACTTCACAATGGTAGTTGAAATGCGCATTGTTGTCATCCATCCGGGAAGCACGCGCGGAACTACAATGACTGAATGGGAAATGGTTATGGAATCGCAAGTTAGCATGCATGTTTTCGAAGCACACGACCTTCCGTAAAATTATTTGCGCCTTTTCGGACTATGCAGTTTTACCAAAACCAAACCTTAGTTGATCCTTTTAC